TGGGAAATGCCTGAGTATCCCCAGGGTGGCAAGGCTCCATGAAGGGCACTGAGAACCCTGCACCTGGGGACATTCTGCCTGACCCCTTTTGCTGCCACTCTGTAGCAGCAGAGCATGAGTGGTGTGGGGGTGGTCCCGGCTCGTGGGTTGTACACGATCCTACCTGTTTTGCCTGCTTTGGAGTGTCTGCAGACATCTTCAGGGCACTGGACTCTGTTCTTCTCACTGTTCTTTTCTCCTTTCTTGAGGTTCCCTTTTATTCAACCAGTCTGCGTTGAGCAACCCTGTGAAGGCTCAGGTACTGGGTTGGGAAATGTGGAGAGTGGCATGGTCCCTGCTTCAAAGCAGTTTATCATGGAGTGGTACAGAGGTAGGGAAGATGGCTGGAGGGGCACGGTGGGCATCATTAGTGACAGAGAGGGCCGAGGAATGCTTGCTGATGGAGTTAAGACAAACCCCAAATAGCTATACCACAGAGTGGATTACGGTACACATAGGAATGGGGAGTACCAGGGCTGGGAGAAAGTATCTGGACCAGTCTCAGCTTCCTCTGTTGCATTCAGCCTTAGCACCCAGGATGGCATTATTCACTTAACAATTTAGCAAATATTTATTGACCACCTACCATAGGCCAGGTACTGCCCTAGGTGCTAGGGATAAAGCAAGGAACTTATATTCTAAAGAGTGAGACAGTTGGCCAGGCTTGGTGGCTAAGCCTGCAATCCCAGCACTTTGGGGACCAAGGCAAGATTACCTGAGCCTGCCGGGTTGGAGACCAGCCTGGGCAACTTAGCGAGACCTCATCTCTACAATAAATTAAAAATTAGCCAGGAGTGGTAGCGCATGCCTGTAGTTTCAGCTACTTGGAAGGCTGAGGCGGAAGGATCGCCTGAGCCCAGCAGTTCAAGACCAGTCTAGGCTTCAGCCTTCCAAGTAGTTGGAACTACAGACGCGCGTCACCACACCTGGTTGATTTTTTGATTTATTGTAGAGATGAGGTCTCGTCAAATTGCCTAGACTGATCTCGAAGCCCTGGGCTCAGGCAAATCCTCTTGTCTCCGCCTCCCAAAGTGCTGGAATTACAGGCGTGAGCCACTGGGCCCGACTCACTTTCTGAATAATATTATTTTATGCTTAAAAATTTTCCATTGTGATGAACCCAATGTATCTATTTTTCCTTTTGTTGCTCATGCTTTTGGTGTGACATCTAAAAGTCCATTGCCAAATCCAGGGTTATGAAGATTCATGTCTATGTTTTCTTTTAATAGTTTTAGGGCTTTAGCTCTTATGCATAGATCATTGATCCATATTGAGCAAATTTTGCATATGGTGTGATGTAGGAGACCAACTTGATTCTTTTCTTGTGGAAATTCAGTTGTCCCAGCACTACTTGTTAAATAAATCCCCCATTCCCCTAATTTTTTTGAAATAAAAGACTGTTCATGTGCTGAAGACAACTCCAACTTTGCTTTTATTTATTTGGAGTCTTTGAATTTAACACCTTTTGCTTGATTTTTGCTGTTTGTTTTCTTTTTTTTTTTTTTTGAGGTGGGGTCTCACTCTGTTGCCCAGGCTGGAGTACAATGGCACAATCATGGTTCAGTGTAGCCTCAACCTCCTGGGTTCAACCTGATCCTTCTGGGTGACAGAGTGAGTTCAACTTCAAAAAAAAAAAAAATCGAGTAATGTTCATTCCACCTTTTAATTTTGTTCATCCTGTTTTAAAGGGGGAAAAAAGGCCTGTCCTCAATGTTGAGAAGTTACTTTTAAAAAATTTTTTATTTTTTAGCAGGATTTATTGAGAGGACAGAAAAGCTCCCATAGTGGGAGGGGACCCAAAGGGGTTGCCCAACAAGTTATTTTTATCAAAATTTACTTATAGGCATACATTATTTATAAGCTCCTTATGCTTATCATATTCATACAAGTATGAAATCAGAATAAACGTGTAAATTAAATAACCTACAAAAAATTTATAAAAATTTTATTAAAAATTTATAAAAATTAGCCAGGTGTGGTGCTTACATGTAGTCCCAACTTCTCGGGAGGCTGAGGCAGACGGATCACTGGAGCCCAAGAGGTGGAGGCTACAGTGAGCCAGGATTGTTCCACTGCCCTCCAGCCTGGGAGATAGAGTGGGACACTGACTCAAAAAAAAAAAAAAAGTGTCTAGTTGTAGCCCAGAACTTCCTGTTAGATTGTCAAAGGAAGGAAACACTCAAATGACTCATCCACAAAATTTTTTAAATGACTGACCATTAATCAGTTTTGTGTTTTTTCAAACATTCAGTTTTTACTGGACATGAAACATCAGTTTGTTTTTGGACTGCCCACTGGGATGTCATGTGGGGTTCACTTGGTGACAGCACATACTATTGCTATTAGCCCGCAACTGCTCAAGTAGTACATTGCTACATCACATGATGTCATTTTCAAGATGCCAAGTGAAAAACTAAGCTTATTCAATAACTTGAAAAACCAAAGTTTGCCTGGCGCCATGGCTCACGCCTGTCATCCCAGCACTTTGGGAGGTGGAGGTGAGAGGATTGCCTGAGCCCACGTGTTCAAGACCAGCCTGGGCAACTTGGTGAGACCTTGTCTCTACAAAAAAATTTTTAAAAATCAGTCAGGCATAGTGATGTGTGCCTGTGGTTCCAGCTACTTGGAAGACTGAGGCAGAAGGATCAAGGCTGCAGTGGCCATGAACGTGCCACTGCACTACAGCCTGGGCGACAGAGGGAGATTCCAACTCAAAAAAAAAAAGAAAAGAAAAGAAAAGAAAAAAAAGAAAAACCAAAGTTGAGTTCTATTTCAATCTTTGAGTTAAAAACACTGCCACAAGAACACGGTCTTTACAATGGATGATTATGAAGGCACATGACTTCCTGCTAGAACAGCATTTCAAAATCTAAACAGTGGCTCTACCCTTCAGTTACGTGACTCTCAAACACACGGGATGTGACCTGATGGACCTTCAGTGTGGCAGGGGAGGCTATTTGGGAGCAGAGGTCCTTTCCCTGGGGCTGCTGCTTTGGGCACCTTCATGCTCCAGTATACTCATCCAATTTATTGTAGCTGGGGTGGGTGATCTTTAAAAACATAACTCTGATCATGTCATCTCTCTATTTTTTAGGTTTTTGAGTCGGGGTCTCGCTCTGTCGCCCAGGCTGGGGTGCAATAGCACAATCACGCTCGCCACAGCCTCAAACTCCTGGGCTCAAGCAGTCCTCCAGCCTTGGTCCCCCAAAGTTCTGGGATTACTGGCTTGAGCCACCGTGCCCAGCCCACCTCTCTGTTAAAAGCCTTCAATGGCTCCTTACTCCTTTAGGATGCAATCTAAGCTCCTTGATGGTCTTTACCTTTTCAATGTCATCTCAAGCAGAATTGTTTAACTCCATAATTAATTATGGAGCCATAATGTCTCACTTATTTTGTGACACCCCGCAGTGGCTGCTACTTAGGGGATAGGCCTCTTAATTCATTAGGGTTGCCAAACAATGACATTCTGTCATTCCTCCTTTATTTCTTGGAATACTCCTCTAAAGAGATCATTTCCCTCCTCTACTATTTGGTTACTCAATGGTACTGTTGTTTTAGAAAAGTTAACATTTATTAACTTTGGTTTTCATAGTTTAGAGTCATGGAATTTTTTTTCAAGTCTAGGATATTTTCATAAGCTGTGTGTTATAGTGCTTAGTGCTCAAAACACCTCTGTCTACAGGGACTGGAAGTAGGAAGATAAAGAGGCAGGGCCAGTCGTGACCTAAAATTTGCACACTAGGGCCAAAGGGAAGATTTGCCTCTAGCTCCAGCTGGCAGAACACTGTACTGCGCCCAGACACAGATGTCAGGTGTGCGCTCTGTTTTCTCTGCAATAGGTAAGGTTCTCCTAAAAGAAAGGAAAAAATCCATCAGTTATAAGGACCTTGAAAAGTTTTGTTTTCCCTTGAGGAATTTAATATGCTTTTTCTGTATCATTAGGAAACATCAGTGAACAGTGTTTTCCCACTTTGCATTGCTCTCAGTAAGTTCAGAGCCAGAATTTGTTTAATTTTAGAATACTAGGAATTTCTGACCTGCAAATCGATATTTTCTTCGATCTTAATCTTTTGTGCCTGTTCTCTTTTATTTAATTTTACATTTCCGTTTGATTATATATATCCCAAGCAGAATTAAAATTTTCCACGAGCAGCAAGGATTGAACAAAAGCATTTACGTAGCCGTCAGCCATCCACGAGAGTACCTTTTTCTTGCCCCTCTACATACCGCTGGGTATTATTTGAAAAACTGTTACTAATGTAATAAGCCAGAAATGGCTTTTCATGGGAGTTCTGATTTGTATTTCTAAGGTTACCGGTGAGATGAAACATCTTCCCGTGTTTGTTGACCAGGTTTAAAACTGCTTGGAACCTGGCTTTTGCAGATGGGAGCGCAGCCAATCCAGAGGAAAGACAAATACGACCCAAAGAAAAATGCCTTTACACTTAAGCTTTGACTCCGCCCCTGGGTCCCTCACCAATCACCCCACCTCCAGTAAGCCCTTTGTGTGTGTCAACCGTCAGGAAAAGGGGTCTCCGCCTGCAAAGCCGACAGAACACGGTATAGTGTCCCCAGATACGTGTGCTTCGTTCACGGCCTGAGTCTGATCGCAAGGCTTGCAGAAAGGAGCTCGGGAATCCGAACAGCGTCTTTCTGCAGGCGTGGTCTCGCTCACTCGGCCTTCGGTTGGCCCGCCTGGTCCCGCCGGAGCCGCGGCGCCGCGGGCTCGCCCGGCGCGGTGGATGCGAGCGACGAGTGGCTGCTTCTGCCTTCCTCCCCCACTTTTCTTGAGCCATAGCTATGGTTACCACGTCTCTTTTCCCCGCCTCCCTCCACCCGCCAAGAAGACGCCTGCCCATTGGCTGCCGCTCACCAAGACGGCCTGTGACTGGCCGCCGGCAGGGCCGGGCGCTGCCCCTCCCCCTGTCTCCCGGGTCCCCGGAGGAGCCCAGTAAGGAGGCTCCGGTGGTGCCGCCGGGTCGGGGGCTGCCGGGACCGGGCTGCGGCGATCCTCACGGGTCATGTCGGCCGCCCAGGGCTGGGACCGGAACCGCCGGAGGGGAGGAGGCGCCGCCGGCGGGGGCGGCGGAGGTAGCGGGGCCGGCGGGGGCGGCGGGGGCGGCGGGGGTCGGGGCGCTGGCCAGCTCAACCGCTTCGTGCAGCTCTCCGGGCGGCCGCACCTG